ATGGACTGAAAAAAGGGAACAAGGAACTCAACTCAAACGCTCTAGATTGCTGCTGAGCAACATGACCGATGCTATCTAATGTTGATCTCTCTTTTGCAGACTACAGTGGCCCTTATAATTTTGTTCCATAACAGTGTTTTGTTCCTTGGATAAAACCATTGACATATTACACTTTCAATTATTCACTCTGGGACTTGGGGGGAAAAAAGAACTCAACCATGAAAGGAGTGCAAATAGAAAATTAGTTTTTTGAATTTTAAATTGAGCATTAAGACTGCTGCTACAAAAAGGAAAGGAAAATTTCCACTGAGTTCTGCTGGCATAAAACAAAACAAACTCTAAGCACCCTTTGAAAGACTGACGATACACACTTACCTGGGAGTGGGCCCTGTTGAACTCATTTCTGAGTAGACATGCACAGTGTGTCTAAAGAAGTGGATTGTAATCCACAAAAGTTCCCACCTCAATAAATGTTTTAGTCTTAAATGTGCCATTTGTTTTTCCTGTTTCTGGAGGTCTCAATATTCCATTAAGGCACTGTAAACCTGAAGAGAACTAGGATACCAGTTCCTTACAAAATAACACCAAAGCATTTGTGGAAGTGGGATGGATTCCCCATCAATGGCCTGATGCTTACCACCTTTGTTTCCTAAATGTCTGGCTTCTATCTCTTTTTCTTTTTCAAATCAGTAAATTATGTTTCATTTAGGGCTAGAGACAGATCAGGGTAACAGACAAGCTGTTTCAAAAATGAAGGCTAGCCCTCGCCCCCTTCCCCCACGTCCCTGGCTTATTTACTCTCTAGCTTGCTGATTTTGCTTCAAATATAAACCTCAAAAGTGTTTCTCAAAGTACATTGTCCACAGAAGACTGTAAACCAGTCCACCCGGATTATGTAACTGTCTTATGGTAGGAACTGGTCATTGTGAACTATGTGGCATGTGATAGAGTAAGTTCTTGTGGGGACCAGCTGTCATGAGTTCAGCTGAAAAAGATCTGGAATCTGAGGGCTGATTACAGCTGAGGATAATGCTGGGCAATTAGAAGCACAGACAGCTGAATCACCACCAGATTCTACTCCCCCAGTAGCCAGAGTGAGAGCTAAACTTCGGCAAAGACTCATGATGTGAAGGTCAGAGGATCACATGAATGCTTCCCGTAGGAACATCAGGTCGACCAGCCCTGAGTTTTAGCAGGATGAAGTGTTTAGATGACTGCAGCTGTTATAAAATCTGCACCCAGAGGCTTGGAAGTTTGTGGAAGCAACAAGTCAACACTCTGGCTCGCATCCATGCTCCTGCTTATCCTGGACCCTGTTCTCTGGACCCTTGGCTTTGGATTCTGACTGCTGACCAGGGTTTGTGTTTTGGCTTTGGCATTTTGATATCTGCTTTGCATCATCTAGACTTCTGATATTGGACTGGTTTATTGGACTGTTGCCTGTTGAAACCCCCTGTGAATGTGACATCAGCATAGCTTTTTGTTAAAAATATTATTTCAGGAAAAATATCTCTTGTTTTCTGCTAAAGGATCAAGGAGGTCAAGTCAAGACCATGCAAACATGGCCCCTGGAGGGTTGCATGTGGTCCACATTCCATGTGTTGCCCACCCTGCTATAAAAATACGATAAATAGTACAGCCCTCTGTATTATTTTGCTTATGGAAGGACACTACTTGATTAAATGATCAAATGTATGAATTAAATTCAGTGAGAAGTACTAACTCTGTTCATATGACATAACCATGGTGAACTAGGAGAAACGCAGAATGACATCACTCCCAATTTACATGCATGTAGTTGAATATCTACTCCATGCGTAAGTGTACTTATGTTCAACGTATATGTGATGAATTTGCTGTATTTATGGTACAGTATATGTATATCCACTAGAACACCTGCACGGAGCCATCACACATACTGAGATGAGAGGATTGTACCATACAATCAGGGGCATGCACTTGTGAATTAAGCTGCAGTTGCATGATGAGTCTTGAGTTTGCAAAATGGTGAACCAGCCAGAGGCTACTGAGATTTAGTTATCATTTCTTGATGGTGAACTTTAAATTTGCCCATGTAGTAGCCAATCTGTTTGTATGAATGTCACAGATTGCATGTGGAATGTTTACATAAGTGAAACCTTGTGTCCAGTCAGGTTTAAATCAAGCCCTATTCACTTGCTTCTCCCACTCTTATGTCACCAAGTCTGGCTTTGAAGAGAGACTATGTAATTGTCCTTCAATAAACATCTACCCCAGCACTGAGGATGCTGCAAGGCACACTGAAAGTAAAAATATAGTACAAGACACTACTAAGGGTTTGGGTTTTTAAAAAGATATAGTTAAAACTCTTTATGATATGTGTGAGAGTGCCATACAGATGTTCCAGTATAGCAACCCTGTTTGTTTCTTTGTCCCTTGGCTAATCATGCTGGCCAGAACATCTATGCTAATACGGTGCTTAGTGCATCTGTGAATGAGTTACAGCATCATAAATAATGTAAGGTTATTCAAGCCATACAAAGTAGAAACAAGATTATCATAATCAGTGATTTACATCATTATATGGAGGATGGAGTATCTAGGGGACAGAGATAGGTTTTCCATCCTTGAAAACTGATCTAAGGGAGCAATGGACCATAGGCTAAATGCAGCTTGTGGAGGATTTGGATCTGCCCTACGGCCCCCAGTCTTCACCCCACCCTCACGGTGATTAGGGCTCTTTCTAAAAGTTCTGTTTGTACTAATGGAATAATTCAGCAATGTCTATATATCTGTACATGGCCACACACATAAATGGAATAATTATAAAATTCCATTCATATTAATAAAAACTTTCCCCCAAAGCCTAACCGTCACAAGGGATTGGGGTGATGGGGGGGGGTTATATAGCAATTAGATGCAGGGAAGGAAAGGCTCCATTCATTTGAGTGGGCTCTTTCTTCTAAGTCTACCTGAAAGCCAGAGCGAATAAGTGAGAAAGAGAGACTAGAGAAGAAGGAATGCAAGGGAGAGAGGCAGTGGAAGAGAGAGGTTAGAGATATAATGAACAGGTGAGGTTTAAATGTGTGAATGAGGGTGTATCAATGTTTGTGCATAGGGAGAGGGTGTGAATATATTTTATAGGTTGTGTACATGTGGATTTTAGAACAGGGCTTTATTGCCAAAAAAGAGGACAGGTATCACTAAAAAAGGAGGATATGCAGGGCATTCAGGTTTTAAAAAGGAGGACACTTTTGCTTTAAATTTACACATGCTATTTAAACTAATAGATGCAAATATCATTATAATTAGACATTCTCACTGTAATTTAAGTGTAAATATACTACTGTTCACCATTTTGCACAAGACTGTACCTTGGGATAAAGCATTGAGAAAAAGATGGAATATTGATAAAATAAATAAGGAAGACTTAGTATTTAATAGCTCTCTGTGCCCTGAATTTTCTGTTTGCTGAACATGAACATATATAGAAAGAAAATGAACACAGGTTACTGGAGTTTTGTTGAAATATCTAGCTAGGCAATAATCAGCTATTTCAGAGGAATAGTCTGAATAGTGCTTTCAGATTGTCCACCCCTAGGAACTTAGATCACATCTGATGTTTACTGAGCACTGCCATGCCATGCCATACCATATCCCTCCTGTTATATTAGTGAGATTAGTGTGTGTGGTTTTCTTCTTTCCTTACATAGTGATCTTCCCAAACCATTCTATTTTAAAAAAATGATTGAGTGACTTATACAATACACTTATCAATCAAAGTTTCCATCTACACAGAAAGAGCTAACTTTATAAATTCATTACTCATAATAGCCTAGCCTCAAATTCTGACCGAGATGATTCTGGCGATTTCTCCCCACCCCTTGGTCGGCAAAGCCCAGCCTGATGAAGACTCCTGCAGGACTCAAAAAGGAACTTATTTTTGAAATTTTATTGGCCACATAAAAATATCACCTGATAGGTGGCACAGCGCATACAGTGTGGGACACAGAATCAGGAGAACTGGGTTCAAATCCTTGCTCAGCCAGGGGAAACTCACTGTGGAGGCACAAGGGGGCTACTTATACCTCACCCAAAAGAAGCATATGCATCAGCAAGACATCAATGATCTGAATAACATTGCATGTGTTAATTCAGGTGCACAGAAAAATAACTGGAAAAAAAATTCTATAATTTAAGCAGAATGGCACAGTGCACCGTGGGGAAGAAATTGATAAGGTAACTTGCCTGCCAGCCAGGTTTGCTCTTCAGATTCATAGTAATGTGGGGAAGTTCAAGGTCACTGGGTTTTGTGTAAACTTCTTTAGCTGTTAGCCAGTTTCAGACTGGAGAGTCCTTCAAGTGGAGGACTGTCCTTTGGCAGCTCTTCAAATGGGGGACCTTCCTCTTAAAAGAGAACTGCTGAACACCCTAGATTGGTAATGAGAGAAACACCAAGCTTTGACTCTGTCTAGCACTGGTAGGCAGCCTCAGAAGATCCCCCCACAAAACAATCTATCCCTCAGGCTTAAAGAACTTTCCCATCACTGTGCTCTCTTCCCCTCTCCCTCACCTCTCATTAGGACTTGGAGTGGAGCAACTTGCAGGAAAGTCTCTGGCTAATTTTGCACCTTTTATAAATAGAAATAGTAGGGATAAACACACTTTTTTTTTTAAGTCTAATTCATGTAATGAGTTTTTAGCGCCTAAAACAGACAGGAAAGCAGTAATGTCTGCCTGAAGAGAAATGAAACTTGTAATTGAAAGGCTGGAGAAGAGGGAAGGATGAGAGAGAAGGAAGGAAGGAAAGAAAGAACCCCCATCTGTTTTTAATTAATTTGTTAATTCATTTCTACCGCACCTTTCTCCATGCATAGGGCCCTAAGGAACTTTCAAATAATTAAAAAAACCCACACAAATTAAAAATAATTAAACACATTAATTTTAAAGGTACTAAATAAAACCCCTTTAAAACAATTTAAAGTACATTTCAAAAGGTGAAGGGACAACTCCCTGCTCACCCTTAAAGTTTCTTCCTCAGCAGCAGTTCTCCTGTTGGAGTACAAAGGGTAATTCTGCCTTCAAAGTGTTCTGCCGCATGTGTGCGAGAAGTAATGCTGCCCCTTCCTTCAATTGTATAGCAGCTGTGGAAAGGGATGTGGGTCAGTCAGTTAATTAATGCTCAGTCCCCTTCCCTTCCAAAAGGTAGCATAAGCCCAACCTTACAACAGACGTTCCTGGCTCCCTCTCTGAGGCAGAAAACATTAGCATGATGCTACACTGACCAGTTCCTTTCCCTTCAGGCAGGCAATTTTGGCATGAAGTCACAGTGACCAAACTTTAGGGCTGGTCTTTCACTCTCTTCAGATGAGCAAGATCAGTATGAGGTCATAATGGTTGGTCTCTTGCTGCGTTTGGCAAATAGCATCAGCATGAAGTCACAGTTGATGTTCTTGGCCACTCCCTCTCCTCAGAAGCAGTCAGCATCAGCAGGAGGTAACACTGGCCAGTCCTTTTAATTCAGACAAGAAACATCAGCATGCAATCACAACATTGGGTCTTTCACTCCTTTACATAACCACTATCACTGCAAGGTCACAACAGGCAGACTCTCTGTTAACATGGCCAGTCTCTCTCCCACCAGGCAGCACCAGGATGTGATTCCAATGACTAGTCCCCTCTGGGTCAAGCAGGCAGGACAAGGTTGAGATCACAATGGCTCATCGCTATCCCTCAGGTGGGCAGCATCAGCATGTGGTCACAGAGGCCATCTCCTTAAATAAGGAGGATAAGCGTTCCAGTGGTCTGTGATCCAAGTGAGAGATACCTTGTCCTACAGGGGCAAGAGGTGGTGTCCTTCTGTTCAGACCATGAACTGCTGGTGAGTAACCATGGCCTTTTGTTATTTTAACTAGAGAATATAAAAAGGAGATTGCTACAGCTCCTTCTTCAGGTTTGTTTCCTTCAGGAAGGCAACAACAGCACAGGGTCATAATGATGAGTCCCAGTTCTTCAAGGAAGCAGCATAAGCATGAGATCAGGAAGACATCTCTCTCCCTTAGACAGGTGGCATGAGCGCAAGGTCAGTCCTCCCCTACATCAATGATAGTCACAATGGACAGTCCTCATAAATAGGAGGCCATAATGATCAAATTTTTTCTCTCTTGAAGTAGAAAAGCATCACTTGGGAGTCACCCCTCTTCTTTCTGGCAGAGGACAAACAGAGGCATTTGACCATATGCATAGGCACATAGAGATCCTTTTTCTTGTTTTCTTTCCATCAGTTCCTCTTTTATGAACACTGCAGTACATGTTTGAGAAGTCAAGGTGAGATTTATACGATCTGAAGAAAACCCAGAGACAAGGTTCACTGGAATAGACAATAACACTAGGAAAAATTGAAGGCAGCTGGAAAAAGAGGAAGAGCAAATCTGAGATGAGACTGATTCCATAAAGGAAGCCACAGTCTTGAATTTGCAGGAGTGGAGCAAAGCTGTCAGTAACAGGTCATTGTTGAGGTCACTTGTTTATAGGGTCTCCATGCATTGGACGCAACTTGACAGCATGTAACAACAACAATCGATTCTATCAGGCTCAACTTCTTCCCTGCCAGGTACCAGCTGTCTCAACTTCCTGACTGACCACAGGCAATAATGCCAGGCTCTGAACCATCAAGGCCCTTCCACTTGCCATACTAGGTTTAGCTGGGAGGAATATGCTGGTAGGTTGCTTGGGAACTGTTGTACCTTCGCTTCTGGGACAGACCCTCTGTTTTAACCATATCTGCAGACTTGGGTCCATCCGTCATAATCATGATGTTTTTTTGTGGGCCTAGACTTGTTATGTATTTTACAAGTCAGAGCTGAGGGAAAAAATGTATCTTGTCCAATATTTGGTATTCTAATTCAGCTGAGGAAAGCTTTCCCACAGTTTAGTTGCCAGGGTAACCATGTCCTTCATCTCCATGTGTTCCGCATATGTGTAGCACTTTATCTTATATCTCTCGGATGCAATGTTATTGCATTGCATTTTAGATTTTTTTTTCAGTAAGAAAAAAAAATGTTCCCGAAACCTTTTAATGTCTAGAAGACTCATTAAGCGGTCTTCCTGAAGAATGATGCAGCTTATTCTCTTTGGGCACTACCCCTGCTGGGGTTGTAAACACTACTAGGTCCTTCTCATTATCTCTTTGGAATTTCTGATGCCTGCAGTTTTATTTATTTATTTTTATTCTAAGGAATGAAGAGATGAGGGGGTGATTTTGTGTATGTGTGTGTGTGTGCTTTCCAGCAGAAATTTTATCTATGATGCTTATATATATTCATGTATGTTTGTCTCACTCAGAAATTATCATATACAAACACATGACACTGGTGCATGTAGATGTAAGTGGATTAAATACAGCTTGCAAATAGCTACTCTCCCTCACATTAAGGATGTCCCCCAGGGACAACAGAGACACAAAAACATTTCAAATGTTCTTCTTCTCTTCCTCTTTCTTCTTTCCCTCTCCCCAAAATCCCCCAGGTCAGTATCATAATAAAGCTTGGTTGTTGTTTTTAATCAAAAAAAAGATACACGTCTTCCTTCTCTGATGCATGTCACACTCGTACAGCTACATGCCGGAAGTGTTAAAGAAGGAGGTGCCAGAGAAACTACAGTCCGTGGTACTCCTGGTGCTTTCCAGATTTGATGGTACATTTACACCAGAGAGTTATTGGAATATGATTAACTACTATAACTTGAGATTTGTAGTTTGATGAAGTACTATAACTTGAGATTTGTAGTTTGATGGCTTTGCTGGAGAATTCTCACAGGGACATTTTTCATGATATACCGTGGATGCCTGAAACTACGGAAATGAAAGAATTCTTATATACAACACACAAAAGGGTGGGACAAAGGTCACAAGGGAGCATCTTTGTATATTGTATATAGGGCTGCAGAAAACTGCAGGTAAGTGAAACTGGGAATATTGATCTCATGAATATGGGGGTCCTATTATGTAATGTGTTTCTGGAACAATCATTGTGGTATTGTGCACCAGTTAATGGTTATTTGCAAATAGATAGCACACTTTATGCCAGGACAATAAAATGCTATACATTTCCTTTATTATGTCAAAACACATGCACTTGTATCACTTACAGTGGGGTCTTGACTTGAGAACTTAATCTGTATTGGAAGGCGGTTCTCAAGTCAAAAAGTCTTTAAGTCAGGTCTCCATTGACCTACAGTGCATTGAAAACTGATTAATCCCGTAACAGGCCGTTTTTGTTCCATTTTGGTTTTTTTCTGGTCTGTAAGTCAATTCTCAGGCTGCAAATCAAACCTAAATTTTGCGGCCAGAGAAGTCTGTAACTCAAAAAGTCTGTAAGTCAAGCCGTCTGTAAGTCAAGTGTCCACTGTATGTCAGACATTATAGTTCACAACACATTTGTATGGATTTTATGTTATTGGGTGTTGGATGTATTTTTATGCACATTTATAACACATCCACACTGATATTCCCATCCTTATCCCTTCCCATCTCTTTTTCCATGCTTCACTCAAGCCACTTCATGATCATGGGAAATTGAAAGCTTCCTCCCACTCCCTCATGGAAAGAGAGGAAGTTTTCTTCTTTTCCCCAAGTGGTATATTGCATCAGTGCTGTCTTGGGGGTTGAAACCTCTGAACAATGTTTGCTTCCTTCCTCTGTCCCTCCACTGGAGAGTAGGATGAATATTTCCTTTTGACAAAATGCTGAAGCAGCTTAAGTGAACAAACAGCTTAAGTCAACCACTTTGGTTTGATCTCAGTGATCACACATGCTGGAACTCAACTCAAATGGAGCAATGATTCCTGCACTAAACAATAAGTAGTCCCTGACAGGGACCCAAGAATGCTGGTAGGTATGTATCAGGCATGGACTAGTTCATGATGACTGATATAGCATTTGGTCACTAGGAAAAGGAGAAAACTAGCCCATTCCCAAAACTGACTAACCTGGGAGATGAATCCCCATCTGATTTTACACTTAGATGCTGTCTATTTCAGGTCAAGTTATATTCTGCTGTCCAAACTTCAATATACTAGATGCAACATTGTGAAACAAAACAAAAGGAACCGGTACATCCATGAAAGTCCAGATTATAAATGAGAGATGAAGTCTCAGGATGTAGAAAATAGAATCAAGTTCTTTATTCTGTATTCTTTAAATGGGTCATTAAAAAGCTCTGGCTCAACGCGTTTCGGCGAAGCCTCCTTCAGGAGCTGAGCATAATACAAAACCACATGTAGGATATTGAATCATTCACATTTTCTTTTGAAAAAAATATATCTACCGCTTGGGACTCTCAATTTTGCATAAATACATACATTTATACTGAACACATTAGGCATGATAAACTATATTAGCCAGAATATAAAATGCATACTGAGCTCCTTTATACTCTCTGCACCTTTGGTTATCCCGCCGCCTTCATCTTTACATACAGCTGTGTACGAATGCCTCCTTTCTCAGTACCTGCACTTTCAAACAGTTTTGGAGCTGCTATAGACCAAAGAAAGGTGTTGAGCCAGAGCTTTTAAACTATCCATTTAACGAATACAGAATAAAGAACTTGATTCTATTTTCTACATCCTGAGACTTCGTCTCTCATTAATAATCGCAACAATTGCGAAAGACAGGAGTATTTTTTCTTTAAACAGAGAGGAGACTTAGTGCCATTCTGTTATGTAGCAGTCACAGTGTATTACTCAGCAGTTTACTCAAGAGTAAAGCCCTCCAAATATCGGCAGCTCTCACTAAACACCATGCAGAGTCCTCAAATGAGAGAATGAGATAGGAAGACCAAAACATATATTGCCCCGTTTGTCTTCTTCCTTATGCTCCACTAATTCAATCTTAACTTCAGTTAAGAATTTTCAAATTCTTAACACCACCACCACCAACAATAGCAACAAAACGTTGTACGAGCTAAGCAAATGGATGAACACTTTCTGCTACTATAAACATTGCTTTCAGAACCCAGTCTGATTTTTCTTGCTTTTTCCTTCCTTGAGCATGAGTGTTATGAAGAACCTGGTAACAGTTTTGACAAGACTGCTAGTCTAAAATTTTCAAACATAGTAATGGAAGAGATTTGGTTAATAATTGCACATGTCATTAATAGCTGTTACTAGGCACAATAAAGCCATTAAGAGACCTTCTGGGGGTTGAGCAGAATTACCTTGCATTTGTTTTTGTTTTTTTAAGCACAAGACATTTACAGATCAAAGCATTTTGTACCAAATGTAGGTGGCTTGGGCTAGCATGAATTCCTGTCTGGCTTCCCCACAGAGTTTGAGGCATTACTGCCACAGCTGATTGATGCTGAGGCATTGGATGTTACTTAAAATTACACAGCAAACTAAGGGGTAGAACCCTGGAATGTACCACGTTTGTCTAGTTTTGCACTATATTTTCATAGGCTTTAATGGATGTGCAAAAGTTGCTATTTTGCAGAGGCAAAGACATTTATGAGCAATTCCATCTTCTCCTCTATTGTGTTTTTTCATCATGCGTTGTGGCTACTGTTGCCCGTCAGGCACTGCTTGCACATTAAGGACTCTCACTTGACCCCAGTCAAAAAGGAATCATGTAGCAGACCTGGTGGTTCTCTCCTGGAACCATATCTACAAGAGATGCTTAGCCTTGAATTGATGTGGTCATGACAGTTGCCTATCCAAAGAAATATCAGTTCCTCCTGATGCTCACCTCCTTGACAGTGACTTTTTTCCCCTTCTTCTGTAGATTTGCTAAAACATTTGAAAGAGTCTATGTGCATGTTGCACATTGTGGTAACAAAAACAAGTCCCTTCCCTAGTAATGCACTGCGTGTGTGTGTAGGTATATGTATGCACCTACACTTGTGTGACTGTGTGGTTGAACACTGTCTCATATAAAAAAGCACCCTTGAGAAAAAAAGGGAGGCAGCTGAGTGATGGCTACACTATATGTCCGATATGCATTTTTTTCAAAAGGCGGAGGAGCATTAAAAAATTCAATTGCTCATCTGCAGTATGAAAGGGGTCACTTCAGAATATTATTACTTAATT